CAGTTACTGATACAGGCAAATTTGTCACAACTCTTTTTTTTTTGAAATTGGAAGGCTTCACTTGGCACCTTTTTTTTTTTTTCTATGCTGCTTTCATTGCTTTATTGTGAAGGACAAGGTGAGCAATTGTTGTTGAAAGCTCTGCAGAGATGCAACATTTTTCTGTCTGCTCAGTAGTCCAGAATCTGTATGAAGAAAAGCCTTCTGGCCCTGAAGCAATGCATGTTGCTCTACTAGAACAACTCCTTTCCCAGACAGCTTGACAGGAAAACATGGACTTCAAACCCTTTATTACATTTAACAAAGTATCTTCAGTCACAAAATGTTAAGTAACTAGACCTAGATCTTCAGTGGCTCTGATCATGCCCGGACCGCCTGCGCCAGCCTCCTGCCTGAAATCAGGATGGAAACCTCACAGACCTGGGCCCAGAGCTGGCACCCAGCGGGATGTCCTTCCCAAGGCCACCAGCTGTTCCAGAATGCTGCTGCTGTTAGGGCAACGCTCTTGCTTCCGCATTCAACGGCTGCTACCAGGGCTGAGCCGAGCCCCAGACCGGGGCTGGGGGTAAGAGCTTAGTCCAGCAGTTCCTCCCTTTGCACCAGTCGCACCACCACAGCTCACAGGCATGTAAACGCACACTGTTTGTAAAGCAAGAAGCAGCAGAAGACTCGATCCAGATGCAGATGCCGATCTGCGTCCGAGGAAAGCCGGCCACCTCTGCAGCCGAGCCGTTCCTGCTTGGTTGCTGCTGCAGAAAGTGAGCAGTGCCTGCCTGACAGCTGTATGGAGCGCACCCAGGTCCCCACAGCCAGTCCTGCCTTTCTGCTGGGATGCAGAGCTGAGCGACGCTTGGATCGGGATTTTCAAAGCCACCAGTAGGATCTGGACCCTTAACTCTCATTAAGTTGAATAAAAATTAGTGCTGATGACAACTGGCTAACCACAATTCCTTTCATTTCTCCTCCTCTGCCGCCAAAGCTGTCCAGCATTCTTAGGTAAATCATAAGGTTCAGTTAATATGGATATTTCACCATTATAATTAGGAACATGCTCATTACTGCTTTATTACTTTTCTTTTCCAGTTATGTTTTCACTCTAACATCTGATAGGCACTTTGAAATTAATTTTCTTAGTATTACTGTTCAACCTAGTAATGTGTATAAGGCAAGAACAAGACCCCATTACCCTACTCACTTCTGATATGAAAACAACTTTTTTTTTTCCTAAAGAATCATACAGATTCTGTCATGAAAGCAGAAACAGCCAAGCTACACATATTACATTTTATTTAAATTTTGTAAAACTACTAATCCAGCAAGGGGCAGAGGGAGAGGGTAAAAGAAAAAATTAAAAGGTCAAACTGAAAACTGTGATTTTAAGTTCAATTAATTTCATTGCCAGCCTGCTTTTTATACCTCCTTTCAGAGCTCATAAAACTCTACAGGTAAAGATCAATGCCTTGCAAAATTCAGATAGAGAGGCATCAGCTCCACCAAAAAGACCTGCCGTGACGCAGCCTTCCAGCGATTCAGCCTACACTATTCAGCTTTCACTCCAGTAATCCACACCGTATTGCACTTCCGAGGTATAAAACCTTAAATACTCCGAAACTGCAAACCAAACTGTATGTGAGCAGTATATTAAGGCAAAGGCACCGCCAACAATTCTGAGTTCGTCATATTCTCAGCCTACTGAACCACACATTAATATGCTACACATGGTATTCTGCATATTTTTACCATGTACCCTTAGAGCTGTATGTTTCCTTCACTTTCCAATGTAATATATTTTAACACAAAATCAATGTGTGTTTTTGGTGGGCAGCAGAAAGGTTTTATCCACTCAGCTCTGCATCTAAGACGAAAGCGGTATTGATTTAGATGTTCACTCATTCATTTACTAGGACAGTTTTAAAGTGTTAGGTGATAATCTAATTGAGAGGTACACTATGAGGGAAACTGAGATTGTTGCGAGAAATTAAATCAGTCCTGGGGTATCACCCACAATACTTTGATATTTGAAGTAAGATTCTCCTGCAAAATTAAACCAGGAAACAGGCATGTTGGGTGGCAGAGTATGGCTTTCTATAAATGCCAGGTAATGCAAGATGATTAAAATACAAATACATAAATAAATTGCATATTATAGAAACATTAATGCAACACACATTCTATATGTGTCTGTGTATGTGCTTGTATATGTATATATTTATCAGTCTGGCTTCCATTTTCTACTACAAACTGATTATGGACCAATGGAGGGTGTAAATCTTTTGCCATCTATCTGCTTTCTCTAAAAAACCTGGCATAACACGGCATCCATACTGATACTATTTATTCATACTTATTTCACAGAAGCAAATTAAGTCACACACTTCACCAAATAGTGTTACGGCTGCTACACACCAAATCATGCTCGTGTTGCTCAGCTACATACTGTCACGAGGCCAGAAGGATTTGACCTCACATCTGGGTCTCACATCTGAGGAGCCTGTCCTGCACTCTGTCATGTAGGCACAAAGGACACGCTGATCCACCCTTCATGGATTTGGACAGCTGATGAATCAGGCCCAAAGTCCCCCAAACTTCTCCAGATACTGCAGTCATCAGCTGCAAGCAGCTTAGATGACTCTGCCTAGTGTTCAACACATATATTCTTTGCAGAGTGGGGCCAGCCAAAGAGAACATATGCCGTGCTGGATGCACCAGCAGTAATAGTATTAGCAGAATCTGGGGAAATCTGAAATTCCTGCCTAATGCAGGACGCAATCCAGTAAGGTACTACGCACACCCGTTTTCAACTTTTATAAAAAAGTCACCAGAGTATGCAAAGTCTCATGCTTTGAGAATGAAGTGAAATAGTTAACAATAAGAACAAACATGCCTGCAATACAGATGATTCAGATTAAAAATTCATGAACTTACATGTAAGAAATAATTTTGCTCTGAATATTTCCTACATTTTTTCCACTTTGTATTCATGCAAAGTATTGTTAATAGATTCGTATTCCTTAAAGCAGTGGCTAAACGAAGAGGCTTTTCACATTGCATGTGTGCTCAAACAGAAAACGAAGTATAGAAGCAGAATTAGAATATTAAAAATAAATGTATTTGAAAAGAAGAAAAGTCCTGGAGCTCTCAATTATGCCTCTTACTCTTAAGACTTAATGCATGTGGACTTTTTCCACCTCTGGAAGAGTGGCAGACAGCCCCTGAGAAGCAAAGGGGCTGCTTGTTCACTATACTGTGTTTTGGAATTGATAGCAATTTCTGTCTGACAGAACCGTGACTTCATACGTTAGGTTTAGGGACAAAACCTGCTTATCCAGATTAAAAGGTAATTTGTATTAATGTACAGTTTCAGCTACTAAAGCACAGAATTCTCACCACATGAACCAATAATTTAATCTTGTTCTTAAGTAGCCTCACACTTCCAGTAAAAAAAAAGGCAGGGGGTAGTGGGGGGAGAGTAAACTACAGAACCTTTAGTCCCAAAAATAGATGCCAGTTTTAGATTTATTCAGCCAAGGAGTATTTAGCTTGGCTCAGCTATGCTTGAGTTGAAAAAACACTTGCCTATTCCAAAAAGTTTTTAACAAGCTCTGCTGCAGATGCTGTTGCCATTTGGCATGTCATCGTCACTGTGTGGTACAGCAGAGAGAGAAGTCTTGACCACAGGTTTTCCTTGGCTGGGGGAGCCAGCATTTTTGGCTATCGCTCTTCTTCTGGCCAACTGGCTGCATGTTTACGGAGTGTGGTTTGAGACGGGGTGTTAACAGAGATTGGGTTAACAGCCTAACCCAGACCAACAGTGAGGCGAAGGCATGACCTATCCAGTCAGAAAACAGAGATGGAATAAGCTCATATATGTTGCTGTTCTTAACCGAGAGTCTCTTGTATGCACCGTACCTATAGACAAGAGATATTCTCTTTGCCTCAGGATAGATGACAACAACTTTAAAAGCTGTACCAGTCATGCAAAGCAGAAATATATAAAAACGTGTAGTTGCCTAATCTTTGCCGGCTTGATTTCATTCTCTCACCTATGACAGTTTTACCTTGGCGAAATGCCACTGAAAGAAGTTCAGTGAAGTTATTCCTGTTTTCCACTATGATGAGGTATCTTGAGAGGATAAAAACCCTACAGAGTTAAACTGCAAAATTCTGTCCTTGTATTTCCACAAACCAGCAAATGGCAGTTCTGAAACTGAAAAAGCCTAAGTGTTTCTACATGGATGAACTTGGTTCCAGGGATATTAGTGCCGAATACTTTCATGAGAGTGCATATATATAAAGCTGGGGAAAATTTGCAAATGCCCATTTGCGGTTTAGTTTACCTACATTAATCCTATACCAGTACATATGCCTGGGAAGCCTTGACCTTGTAAGACATACAACAACTTTAAAAAACACTATGACATTTGACTTGTATACATGAATTATTTTTGTCCAAATTCTGACTCTTCTTTTTGACAGCAACACCTTTGTTGCACTCAAGCAAAAGAAAATATCTCAGTTTTAAATACATTGCTCGGTCTGCTTTTCTAACACTGCCATTACTCTGGCACTCTGTGTGCCTATCCGAAAAAAAAAAGGACTATGTACACTCCTTCCACATCAGACACTTTTTACTTCACTCTTTATTAACTGACAATTTTCTTTAAGCCAAGTTGCAGAGCACAGACACCATCAGAGAACCAGCCAGACCATTTGCTTAAATTCTTCTAATCTGCACCAAACAGCCTATTTAACACAGTATGGATCAGACAACCCACCCTTCACTTCAGTTCCCTCTCACCGACAGTTCAGCTAGGACTAGGAACATCTTGAAAGTTCACAGACACAAAGGCAATTTACTGCAGCGTATTAAAAAAGAGTATAACATATGACTAAGAATGAAGTAAGCAGTGTCTGGCTACATACCCCGCTGTCTGGGTAACCAGTACGCAAGAGCAATAGAAGAAAAGAATGGGTTTTTTAAAAAAAATTTCTCTTTTTACCATTTTGGCTTCTGAATGCATTGGAGGGACTTGAGGTGAAGCACACGGATTATTGAGGTTCGGCCCCTGCATCCCCATGATGTTGGAGTTCATTGACATTTGTCCCTTCATCTTTTGAAAGAAAAAGAAAAAGAAAAAAAAAAAAGGTTTGAAAACGTCTGGAGACATTTGCAAGAATTTACATTCAGTTTCTACTTAAATGAACTCAGCTTGATTTCTTCAAGTCATGACTGGAAAAATAACAATCTGTGTCGTGAATTGCATGTGTGTATGCAGGCAGGCGTGTGTTTCATCAGAATCGGCCCTGAAAACTCACAGCCAATTATAAAGAAAAGGGTTCTTTACTAAACAAATGTAGCAGCCACCCAGGTCTGTGCTTTTGTGTAATGATTTTCTCCCTTTCAGTATAACAACACTTGGAGTTAAGTGCTTTTAAAAGCATCACTGTATAAAGTTGTGGCTTCCCCTGTCAGTGCAGCCCAACTTAGCTTGTTAAGAACGTAAATAAAAACCTACAATCTTGAGTATATGGAAAAGGAGTTGTCTCTTTTTCCTTCACTCGGACTGCTCAGCTGAGAAGAGTTTTCCATATGTCTTGTAAGGGAAGCTTTCATGTACTGCTGAGATAGCAAAAAACAAAGCAGAACTCCTCCTGGCTATTCTGGGCACTTTCTGCAAGCTAATCTCACTAGGCTGAGAGGGAGGGATACAATTTTCAAGCAAAACCTCCTGGCAGTGAGGACTGGATAAAACAATTCCCTGCAGTGTCCTCCCGGGAAAGAGGCAAGCCCTGTTACACCTCTGGTCATTGGCAGGGGTGGGAAGCAGGGTTCGGGTGCTGCTTTCAGCCGGAGCCGAGCGTCCTGCCTTGTGTTGGGCCAGTCCCCTGAATCTTATGCTCATACGGGAAATAAACTTTGGATCCCCCTGAGCTATTCCAAGCAGGGGAGCTATTTTTTCATGTCTTGTGGTGAGGCCGTGACTCCCACCCTCCATGATCCTAGCAAGAATGGGTGCTGGGCCTCGGGGAGAGGGCAATATCCCACTGCCTGCTGGCAGGGAGAAGCCTCCTCACCCTCTCCATGGGGCAGGAGCAGCTCCCATCGCCGCCTCCTCTGCAGCCCTTTCGGGAGGGCTGTGGGGCAGAGCTGCAGCCGGGGCAGCCAGTGCTGACAGACAGGGTCTATCTTGCCTCCATGCTCACATCTCCGGGGCTCTCGGCCAGAGCACACCTGCTCGTCAGCAAGCAGAGCTGCCCAAAGGGCTCCCCAGCAGCAACCCAAAGCCCCTGAGCTTACACTGAAGCAGGATGTCTGCTCCATTTCAGGTTCCTTAGGAATCATGCCAGAAAAAAACTGCCCATGGTGACAGGGCTTACATTTTTTTGCTGAACTTCCTGGTCAATATTCCAGGAGAGCCTTATTGACTAGTTACTAGTTAATAACTTATTAATGACAGCTCAAACAGCAGCCAAACTTGAATTTTGGAGCCCTGCAGAATGTCCCCCTTGCTCCAGCAAAGCCAGAATGAGCAGTGCTCTCCTCTCTCCCATGGCTGATCGCTCTCAGGTTGTCTTTCAAACTGAACACCATGGGATGAAACAGAAACTTCTCCTTTCCCAGACCCCTCTTCCACGTGCCATCTGTACTCAACTCCCCACCCCTAATCTGCCCAAATGTCTTATATTGAAAGGGCTGTTAAAATCTTTTAAGAATTTGAAGCTACAATTGCAAAGCACCCTTGGTCTCCCAGAAGATGGGGAATATTCCCAGCTCTGCAAAAATGAGTGGAAGATGAACAGCGATCACAACCAAATTCTAATTAAGTGCAAGTTACCAGACTGGAAAAGTCACTTTTTTTTCTTGTTAGCTGAATATCTCCCACAAACAAGAGGATTACTTAGAGTTCACTGGCATAACTTATGTACATGGTCTTTCCCGTGTTGTCTGACTTTAGAAAAATCTTTTTGTTCCAGCACAGACGTACTGATCTCACCTACATGACCATGTGTGAGAACCAGAAATTGTAGTCTCACGTAAACCGTTTCTAATCACTCTCACAGTAATTAACACGCCATTAACTGCACCAGAAATACTCTTGTGTAAGACGAAGCAGTAAAAAAGGTCCAGCTTCCTTAACTCATTACACTTTGATTTTTTAGAAAACCCAGCATACTTTCACATCTGCACCGGATGAATCGAGCAAAAAAACAACTTTCCTCCGCCCCCAAAAAAAACCAAACCAAAAAACTTACAGGCATGAGTACAGCAGAAGATCCAGGCATGGTAGGGTTGGGCAGGGTGCCAGGCATAGAGGCAGGCATAGGCTGTCTTTGTCGGTTGTGTAGGTGCAGTAGTGAAGACAGAGACCCTGGGACAGGCCTAGGAGAACAGGAAAGAAAGCTGTCACGGGCTCCAGAGACTAAAACAAGCCTTACCGTGCCAGCCATTGCTAGGCACCAGCAACGGCAGCAGCAACTCTGGACAAGCAGGCGCAGATAAGCCAGTCCAGCATTTGTCCTCTTCTGCATAAATCAGTAGGACAGAAAGTTTTCCAGAAACAGATGAATCACCTTCCCTCTACTATTTAACAGTTACAGTGCCAGTATAGTCCATACGATAGAACATGAATATAAACGTAACAGCTGGTCTCAGTCTACGCACCTCTGCATCTTACAGTGACCAGCAAAAGATTTCTACAGACATAGCAGGAAAATTTCCTGGCATGCCACATCAGTGCGTTGTGTAAATTCAGCCCTCGGGAACAAAAATATCTGGATGATAGTTTTGCAGACTATGACAGAAAATTAAACACTCTTAAATTAATTCTGAAATGTAATCACCTGTAAATAAACTACTCTAAAATGAGTATTTCACCTCATTCTTGATGTTCTCGCCTCTGAAAACCTACCAACTGTTTGTTCCAAAGTGAGGTTCCTGGTTTTACCAGTTAGCATTACATCAGGGCACAGAAAATGGAAAAAAAGGAGGAAAATTAGCAAAATTACATTCAGATTAAGCAGCTTGTAAAGGCAGTAAGTATGAACTACAAAAAAACAGTGAGTTATTTTGGCAAAAGGAGTTCAGGAGATTTAAAAGGATTTTTCAAAGTACAGCATGGGGGAAAAAAGTGTATGTGGGAAAGCAGGCCCAGCCACAAAGAATAATCATAAAATTAATGAATTACACAAAGATGGGAAGACGGTCACTTCTTCCATTTGGTCTGCACCGTGTCATATCAAATGATGGGACTTAACTTCTTGCCTTTCCAATTATAAGCAATACTGGCAACGACGAATACATACACCCCTCCTCTAACTTTAGCTGTCACTTCCATTTATCTGACAACAAGACAAGAGGCCAAAGGCTGTGAGCAATGGGATTCAGACATCCCATACGGAAGACACCACATCCAGGCTCGCAAAGCCTGTCTCATGGCAACACCAGCTTCTTCCGACCTACAAGTCTCATCCTCTTCTGCCCGCAGATCAAACCACCTAATCCCCTCTCCCCTAAAACTCTCCAGTATTGCTCATTCTTGGACTTCCAGTCCTTCAACCCTACTCTCTTCAAGCCCGCTCCTCCCCGAAAAATTTCTTCAACAAAATCCACCTCAAACTCTTTGCCCTGCCCGCTCCCTTGCACCCGGACACCCCTGCTCCTCCCACCCCTCTGCCCTCAGCTGCCCTCTCTTTAGCAGCTGCACATGACTGAACTCCTCCTTTTGTCTTGGTTCTCCATGGAGAGAAAAAGTCTGTGTTTTGAAGAATGTTTTAAAGATCCTCCCAGACACATGCAGTACTTATTCAGAAGGGAAAAAAAACCCATAACAAAAACAAAACAACAAAAAATGTATCTCAGATACAGACAAGAAGTTCTTCCTATGCCTCCTTGGTTATCTGCTGATGGAGGAATATGATGTACTTTACATTATGATTACTTTCATACTCCTCCAAACAAACTCAAGACAATGTCTCCCAAATACGTGGTGTAACCCTGTGAGAGGGTGCAAGAAGTGCTGCGAGGGAGCATGAATCAGCTTCTGGGACAGTGGACTCTATGGTCAGCTCAGCACAAGACAGAACCTGGAGAGCTGTGGAAATGGTGTAAGTGGAATGGATGTAGTGTAGGAAAAGTGAGCTAAGAAAATACACTTAAAGTACACAGGCCCTGACCCATCCTACTCTCCACTTAAAACACAGCTGCTCCATGTACCAGCACTCATTCACACAGAAGGACTGATGAATCATTAGGACAGGGTCAAAAAAGCACGAAAAGCAGACTCAGTGATCCTTTGAAAAGAAAGAAGTGGGGAGATACCAGGCTGAATGTGAGAACGATCTCAGTTTGGTTCCCAGGGGTTGTGCTTGCCCCCACAAGCAAAGTCCACATCCCACCAGTCCATTCTCACCGTAACTACAGCCCCGCAGAGCGGCAGACGCCATGCTCAAACAGGTCATCTCTATCTCTTGCCTTTGTGTTCGTGCGATGGCTGCCCGATCGAAGTGCTGAGAGCCCCATGCTGCAGGGGCTGAGGAGCAGAGCAAGGGGTTCTGCAGCCCCTATGGGGACACACCCCAGGTTTCCGCCCAGCAGAGCACACAGGTAAGGAGAAAGCGCTGGTGCACTCTCCTGCCTGTCCTGGGACAATCCCAAGGCGTGCAGCCACCCACCGCCGGAGCTCACAAGCCCTCTGGGTCCACCAGCTCAGACACAGCCTGCGGGAACAGCGCTGGCTAGCAGGAGCAACGCATGCAATAAAAATACCGCTTGAGTTTTCAGTGGGACCACAGTAAAGCAGGTACCATGACAACAGCCCCCCTCCCTTATTCATTCTGAGACTGTCCCACATACAGACCCTTTGTACAGTTCACCAGTTTCATAATAAGCTTAGGTGTTAGGATGTTTGACAGAAACTTATTTTGGCCTGACCCATGCAATTTGTGCAAGTGATTCTCAAGGGACTGCACGGTTTGAGTTTTGCTTATATGTTCCAGAGCCAAAAAAATTTCCAAAATTGCTTTAATGAGTTTGGGAATATGGGACTTGGGCAAAAGGGAATTATTGGTATTTATTAAAATGGCAAAGAAGCTTCCTTGCTGTCCCCAGTTTCACCTTTAACGCTGCTTCGCTTTGGGGGTCTGCATATGCATTAGACTTAGCTAGAGGGGAAAAAAATCCTCCGTACTTCAGGTATTTTTCCTTGCTACACCTCTGCTAGTCTATTCCCAGGTATGTTTTTGCAAAGGGGTGAAGAGCAGTCAGAGAAACCTTGTGTTGCAAGGCTGACCCTCTGCCGAAAAGTCTGCACCACTCCTGCCACCAACAGAAGTGCTACATAATGCACACCAGATTCTGCTCCCCACTGGGGAAACCTGGCATTGCCCAGTACTCATGGACACTTCTCTCGTTTCCACATTCAATACAGGTCATCGATTAGCACATGCTCGTGCGCACTCACTCGCACAGAGCTCGAGGAACATGTATGGCACAGAATCGTACAGGCTGAGATACTCAGTTTGTCTAAGACATTTCTTCTTCCAAGGACAACACAATCTCTTTTGTTGTTGCTTTCTATCCTGCAGCAAAGAAAGTCAGTCAGAGTTTATAATTGTTGTTTTTAATGTTGGACACGCCAACTCTGCTCCTCTCTTTGTAAATGCTAAGGAGATGCTGGCTGCAGCCTGTCAGTCAATATTGCTGACTGAGGGATTTCAATTCCTTGGCACCTGTGTTGCTAAATAAATAGGTTGTTGGGCAAAGAGCCCACAAATAAAGGACAGATAAGATAGAGAACTGGCAGGTGCTCAACCTTACGGAAAATCTGGCCATCCATGGGGTTTTTCCCAACTTTAAGAATTTTCATCGCGTTCCAGCAGGAGCCTGCTGTTGGACATGATGGGGTCTCAGTCAGCATTTGTACACTATCTCTTTAGGCGTACGTGGCCCGGATGGATAGCGTTACAGTGGCTTAGTAAAATACCACATGCTAGCCAAGCTGCTGTAACTGACCATGTTGGCTCCCCTCCCTCTGCACCTGCTAACACCGTGAGTCATCCTTACTCACATTTAAACAGATGGGCGGTACCCTGCTAAGCCATGGTGACTCGATCATGTTCCATCACATGACCCTACCCAACGATTAAAGATAACTCGACTAATGTAATCAAATAACTACAATATATACTTCGCTATGTGCCTTCCTGATTAACACCAAATATTCTGTCTGCTATGATGCAACACCTATCTGACCCAGTTTTCTAGATTGTTTGATGACTAAACACTGCATTTGTCTATTAACAGACTAGGCTTCCCTTAAATTGAAGTCTTCGAGGACAGTTTCTGCAGATGACGATTTACTGCTGAGGTCTCATGAGATTAGGTTAATACTGACCTAGACCATTCACGGCTACGTGTAGAAGGACAGACGCTATTTAAAGTATCACTGCAGTAAGACTTCTATTATAGCAAAGGACTCAGGTCAATGAGTCTTATCACAACCTCTCTCCTTCTTCTTACTGTCCTGCACGTACCATTCATGCAAGGTCAGCAAGAATACCTACCCCACAACCTGGTTTGTTCTACTTTAGTTAGCCCTGGTGCAGAAAAAGTAAGCCTTACGTATATGGAGTTGCACTGGAGCAAAGAAACTCATATCTTGACTTTCTCTGGCCTCCAGACCCAGCCAGATCACACAGGAGCAGCCCACAGGTGGCCACAGATTGTGCTGTGGCGTTTGACCATGTTGGGACAGCACTGGCTCAGGGATTCCTGCACCATGCTCCAGTTACGCAACACAGACTTGCCCAGACTTTCATCGTTTTTATATATGTGTATCTATATATATATGTATGTACATATATATATATTTATTACAACAGTGCCTAGAAGCCTTGGTTTAAAAACTGTGGGTGAGGTCCTGCCCCCAAAAGCTTATAGACCAAGGATAAAATGAGGGAGGGTCAGTGGAAGCAATAGGGAGACACGGGTATATAAGGCAGCAATGATACCATAATGAGGAGGAACCACTGCACACCAGCAGCCTGGATCTTTTCAAGGTATGTCAGTATGTGCATGTGGTTTGGGTGGCTTTCAGGCTGAAGCACCCAAGTAGCCTACCGTGCTGAGAATGAGCACAGCTGGCTAGGATCTACCCTCTGAACGTCTCATAGACAACAAGGTATTGTCGCAATTAAACTTTTCATTGCTAAAAAGTATGTTCACTGGAGCATGTGGTTCTACAGACCAGCTGCAAACCACTTCCACAGCAGCTACTGAGGCCAGAGTATCTGACCCAAATGCCGTCCTTGGCCTTCAATATTTGAAAAAATTCAGTCAGAGGGCAAAGACATGGAAGGGATGTTTCAACCTGAGAAAAGTGT